GATAGGTGGCGGCGGCAGGGATTGGTGGGTTAGGCGCGCCCAAGGCGCCCGAATCTTACCCGCGCCACGCCATTGGTTGGGTGCAAATTGCTCCCCCGCTCCTGATTGGCCGCCCTCGCATCACCCATTCACCGTAGAAGATTTCAACTGTAAAACAGAATTATTCCGCCCCCCAGATATATCTTCACATACTGTACATATACTGTACCCTTGGTGCTGTCTCACCCGGTCGAGAGCATCTCGCCCCACTCTTCCCCCGTCCCCCCCCCCACCACACCTTGCCAATGGCTCCCGCATTCCTCCCCCCTAATCCGCTCCCTCTCCGCTCCCCGTCGTGCCTCGCGCGGGCGCAGCATGCGCGCTGCGCAGCGCCGCGCGCAGTGGCCGCGCCCATACCCGCGCACGACGTGCCGACGCACCTCCTAACCATCCTCTCGCCGGCCCTCCCGGCGCCCGCGCGCGTCGCGGATTCGCTGCGGCCGCATCTCTCGCCATTGGGCGCGCGCCTGTTACCGTTCCGCCGCCTCTCCAGCGGTGCGCTGGAGCTCTCTCTCTCGCTGCCGGCGTCTGCGAGCGCGGACGCGCTGCGCGACGCGCTGCACGCGCACGCGCGCCGCGCGGGGGTGGACGCGGTTCTGCAGGAGGTGCGTGTGGCGCGCGCGACGAAGCGGCTGGCGGTGTTCGACCTGGACTCGACGCTGATCACGCAGGAGACCATCGACGAGCTGGCGGCGCACGTGGACGCGCAGCAGCAGGTCAAGAACATCACGGCGCGCGCGATGAACGGCGAGATGGGCTTCCGCGAGGCGCTGGCGGAGCGCGTGCGCCTGCTCAGGGGAATGCGCATCGAGGCGCTCGAGGGCGTCAAGGAGCGGGTCAGCTTCACGCCGGGGGCGAGGGACCTCGTGCAGGCGCTGCGCGGGCTCGGGTGCAAGACGGCAGTCGTTAGCGGTGGGTTCCACTTCCTGGCGGACCACGTGCGCGATGTGCTCGGGCTAGACTACTGCTTTGCGAACAGGCTGGAGGACGAGCAAGGCGTGCTGACCGGGCGTACGGTGGGCGAGGTGGTGGACGGGGAGTTTAAGGAGCGCGCGCTCAAGCGGCTGGCGGCGGAGATGCGGCTACAGCGCGAGGAGGTGCTGGCCGTGGGCGACGGGTCTAATGACCTGCTAATGATGGGCAGCGCTGGGCTGGGGGTGGCGTTCAACGCGAAGCCCGTGGTGCAGGACCAGGCCAAGGCGCGCCTCAACCAGCCGTCGCTGCGGAATGTGCTCTACTTGCTCGGTCTCTCCGAGGAGGACATCCAGCTGCTTGTTCGGTGAGGCGATCTCGTGCACTGGTGCGGAAAAATCTTTTTTCGCCTTCCGACCAATCCAGCTCGACAGCATCCCGTAAGCTACAGTACAGAACTGTAGATTCCAACCCCGTTTTTTTGTAAAAATTGAGAGCAATAGCCCGCAGTCCAATCTTTTTTGTGTTTGTTTTTTGAGTGTTTTTTTACACCCGCCCCAGCACCTGCGAACCTGCCACATATCGAGGCCCCCGCAGGGCAGGCAACGCTACAGCAACCCTCTCAGTGTTTTGTATCGTTCACTATTCCTACGCTGCCGCTCACCTCGCCTTACATTTCTACTCAACAAGTCATGACGAGGCAAAACCAGCGTGGCGGTGAAAAGGCTCCTTGTCTAATAAACAAACTCAAGTATCTTAGAAGGCAAGAGCAGCACGACACACAAGGGCGCGGCAACCAAACACCTTTTTCTCTTTTATCCTGTCCAGCTCAAGTCAACTCCTCCCCCCAAAAAAGGCGCCAGACCTGCGCTTAGTGCACACCGGTAGACCATAGCGTGTTAATCCAACAATCTAATACTTGTAGCCCTTCTCAAACGTGCCGAGGGCGTCCAGCGACGGCTCGGAGCCCTTCTTGTATTTGCCTAAGTTGGCCTGAGAGTTTGCGCGCGCGCGCGCGAGAAGCGCCTGCTGTGCATCCGACACGTTCTCCGGCTTGCCCATCCATGTCTTAAGGCATGACTGCTGCAACGCGCGTCCATACGAAAAGCTCAGGCTCCAGGGGCCCTTGCGGTCGATCTTGTTCATAGCGCTCAGATTCACTGATGCCTCCTCCTCTGACATACCGCCAGACAAAAACATAATGCCTGGCACGGCGGACGGCACGCGACGCTCGAGCGTGCGCACGGTGTAGGTCCCAATCTCCTCCGGCGACGTAGAGCCAGCGAAGTCAGATCCGGGCACGACCATGTTGGGCTTGAGGAGCGAGCCCTCCAGCAAAACGCCGTTCATGTCGCAGGCCTTGTACACGGCGGCGAGCACTTCCTCCTGGACCTCGGCGGTGCGCGCGATTGGATGGTCACCGTCCATCAGGATCTCCGGCTCAATGATGGGCACCAGACCGGCGTCTTGGACGGTGCGGGCATAACGGGCAAGACCCCAGGTGTTCTCCTGGATCGAGATCTTGGACGGGGTGCTGTCCGAGATCTGAAGCACGGCACGCCACTTGGCAAAGCGAGCACCTTGCTTGTAGTAAGCCGCTGCGCGCTCGGCGAGACCATCAAGCCCCGTGCACCAGGTCTCAAAGGAAGCGGCATTCCCCAAGGGAGAAAGACCCTTGTCCACCTTGATACCCGGGATGATGCCAATATTGTTCAAGCAGTCAACAAACGGCTTGCCTTCCGCCGAGTCCTGGTAGAGCGTTTCCTCAAAGAGGATGGCGCCGGAGATGTAGTCGCCGAGGCCTGCACAATTGAAAAGGAGGCCGCGATAGCCCTGACGGTTCGCTTCCGAATTTTCGACTCCGATGGAAGCCAGACGCTTGCCGATGGTCTTGGTCGACTCATCAACGGCGAGAATACCCTTGCCGGGAGAGGCGATCTTGTTGGCGGTGGCGATGAGCTCGTCCTGGTACTGCTCTATGGACATCGTCGGATGGAGAACGGGGGTGCGGCGGGCGGTCGGCGTCGGGCGCGAGCTCACGAAGGAGGTGTTCGACACATTCCTGTAATGAAGGCAGGAGCGGAATATTAGATGTTAGAGACGCTTTTTTGTTTTTTGTCGCTTTTCGCGTCGCGGAGTTGGACCGAGGGGTGACTACGTACGTGGCGGGGCGGGTGAGCGGGAGCGCGTTGACGAAGGCCATGGGAGCCATTGCGGGAATGGAAAAAAAGGGAGGAGGGGAGGGGGGGGAAGGGGGGGGGAGGGGCGGGTGGGGAGGGGAGAAGCGAAGAGAAGAGAAGATGGAAGGACGAGGAGATGGGAGGAGAATGGGGGTGGGACCGGAGGAGGGAGGGCGGAAGGGGGAGGATGAGGAGCGGGTGGGAATAAAGTAGAATGAGTGATTTGAGGAGGCGGAGATGAAGCGCAGCAACGGGAGATAGGGGGATGTTGTGTGGCGCGGAGCTCGCAGGCGGCGGCGGCCAATGGGGAGGCGGGGCGGGGGACACTTGGCGATCGCGCGGCCTTTGATGGCTGGTTGTGGACAAACGGGGGCGTGTGGCAAGGCCGTGGGGCCTGCCACGCGTGCCACGCCTGCTCATGTGTCCGCCCGGAGCTCGATCGCACGCCCCTTTCGTGGCTCTCGCTGACCCGACCGGCTAGCGCCAATGGCACACCGCCAGGTGCATTCCACGATCCCTCAAAACCACAATTTCCCTCCGACGAAATTCCGATCCGTCCAAACGTAACTTTCTCTCATTCGAAATCTCTCCAACCGAAATTCCGATCCCCGAGATCACCTGCCACCCTCCCATCCACGTGTTCACCACACGTGTCCCCCTTGTCCCCCTTGTCCTCCTTGTCCTCCCTGTCCTTCCCCCTACCTCATCTAATCCTTCGCCAGCAAGCTCCCAACTTCCCGACCCGCGTCCCTAACCCATTCGTCATCCCCACCGCCATCCCCACTGCCATCCCATCCCCTTCGCCCCGCCACCTCCCACGTGCGCCATGCCTACCCCGGCCTTCACCACCGCGCTCCCGCTCCGCCCCGCGCGCACGCGCGCGCCGGCCTCGCTGTCGACGCAGTTTGCGCCAAGCCCCGCCACGCGCCTGCGCCACGCCTCGCGCCCGACGGCCACG